TCAGCACACTCGATGCATCAACATTATTTAAGCAATAAACCACCGCTGGAGGCGAGTATACCACGAGATATTGCACAATTCACGACATATATGCATAAGAAAGAGTCGTTTTCGAACGATGTGTAATGAGCATCGGTTGGTCGACACGGTGATCAGATGAAATGGGCCCTGGAACAAGTATTTAATCTTTTATCACACACTCGTGCTCATTACACAAAAATGCTCAGAACACCAAATTTAGATATCATCACAATCAAGGGGAAGTTTATTTCTACAACGCAAGAAACTAGCAAATAATTAGAAATTGAATAAACTGAACAAACTGAACAAAATGAATAGCTGTGAATATATTATCATCAGCAGAACATTACCTGCAGCGCGTACTGTGCGCCATTTTCGAAAACGTGCTGTGGAATTATTATCGTTGTGTAATTTCTTTTTAGCTCCGCTGTCGACTTTGTCGAGCGGAGCTTATCATATGAGTGATTGTCCGTCGTCGTCCGTCGTCGTCGTCGTCGTCGTCCGTGTCAATGTTTTACTTTTTCGACTTCTTCTTGAAAACTACAAGCCTAAATGCTTTGATACTTGGTGTATATGTACCTTGGGTAGACCTCTCTTAGGTTTGTTCATTTCATGTTGATATCTTTAATTCTCTAATTTTGGTGAATATTTTTGTCATTTTTGGTAAAAACTGATATTTTCGACTTCTTGTTAAAAACCGCAAGTGCAATTGCTTTGATATTACATTTATAGGTACTACATGTGGACCTCTCTCAGATTTGTTAATTTTGTAATGATATCTTTAATTCTTTAATTTTGGTGAATATTTTTGTCATTTTTGGTAAAAACTGATATTTTCGACTTCTTGTTAAAAACCGCAAGTCCAATTGCTTTGATACTACATATATAGGTACTACATGTGGACCTCTCTCAGATTTGTTTATTTCGTGATGATATCTTCAATTCTCTAATTAATTTATTTTGGTGAATATTTTTGTAATTTTTGGTAAAAAGTGATATTTTCGACTTCTTGTTAAAAACCGCCAATTGTCCAATTGCTTTGATATTACATATATAGGTACTACATGTGGACCACTCTCAGATTTGTTCATTTTCTAATGATATCTTCAGTTCTTTAATTGCCATGTGCATTGCTAACAGCGGAGCTATCTCAGCCGATAGGCTGCTTGTTTGTGGTTAATCACTGCCAAAATAAAATGTGCATATAATATCTTCATGCTATCAATATTACCCCCAAATTTCCCTAAAATTTAAATGCCCTTTCCTATATTTGTTTTTGAATTGAACTTGTATTCATATTCTGGGGCCTTATTTGGAACACCATAACTGTGCATTATGCTCTATTTAACCATGGCTTGTATAAATTAAAACAGTTTCCCAACCAATCACAATGATGCATTGATGGCAGTGATACATCATATGTTATTAGTGGCCTTTCAATGACACCAAAGAATTATCCATATTCATCATAAAAGCCAAGTAAAATAGAATTGAGCAGCTGTTAACATGCATGTTGCCTTGCATGTCAAATGATATTGCTGTATAGTTACTACAAGATACTTGACCTGGACCGACAAATGCACCACTCTATTTCACATAGTGGAAAAAGCTATGAGAATTATGTTGGTAAATTCATGTGTACAATATATGTTTCTTATCAATGCATTAAGTCTGACAGACACCTACTATAAGAGTTTTGTAGCAATGCAATTTGTAAATGGCACATCTACTTTCATCCACCTGCATTATATCTTGAGAGGTAACTTTTGGTTTTTAGCTTATTCACAAATCTTTTATCACACAAATGTTCATGATTTCAAATGAGCTAACCAGGCTGAGTATGTATCTTTTATCAATCTTTCACAAATGATAAATATAAACTATTCCATCTGGTGACTTCACTATTCCATCTGGTGACTTCACTATTCCATCATGTGACTGCACTATTCCATCTGGTGACTTCACTATTCCATCCAGTGACTTCACTATTCCATCCAGTGACTTCACTATTCCATCCAGTGACTTCACTATACCATCTGGTGACTTTACTATACCATCTGGTGACTTCACTATTCCATCCGGTGACTTCACTATTCCATCCGGTGACTTCACTATTCCATCCGGTGACTTCACTGTTCCATCTGGTGACTTAACTATTCCATCTGGTGACTTAACTATTCCATCTGGTGACTTCACTATTCCATCCAGTGACTTCACTATTCCATCCAGGGACTGCACTATTCCATCCAGGGACTGCACTATTCCATCTGGTGACTTCACTATTCCATCCAGTGACTTCACTGTTCCATCTGGTGACTGCACAATTCTATCCAGTGACTTCACTATTCCATCTGGTGACTGCAATATTCCATCTGGTGACTTCACTATTCCATCTGGTGACTTCACTATTCCACCCAGTGACTTCACTGTTCCATTTAGTGACTGCACTATTCCATCCAGTGACTTCACTATTCCATCCAGTGACTTCACTATTCCATCCAGTGACTTCACTATTCCATCCAGTGACTTCACTATTCCATCTGGTGACTTTACTATACCATCTGGTGACTGCACTATTCCATCTGGTGACTTAATTATTCCATCTGGTGACTTAATTATTCCATCTGGTGACTTAACTATACCATCTGGTGACTTCACTATACCATCTGGTGACTTCACTATTCCATCTGGTGACTTCACTATTCCATCTGGTGACTGCAATATTCCATCTGGTGACTGCAATATTCCATCTGGTGACTTCACTATTCCACCCAGTGACTTCACTATTCCACCCAGTGACTTCACTATTCCATTTAGTGACTGCACTATTCCATCCAGTGACTTCACTATTCCATCCGGTGACTTCACTATTCCATTTGGTGACTTCACTATTCCATCCGGTGACTTCACTATTCCATCCGGTGACTTCACTATTCCATCCAGTGACTTCACTATTCCATCCAGTGACTTCACTATTCCATCCAGGGACTGCACTATTCCATCCAGGGACTGCACTATTCCATCCAGGGACTGCACTATTCCATCTGGTGACTTCACTATTCCATCCAGTGACTTCACTATTCCATCCAGTGACTTCACTATACCATCTGGTGACTTTACTATACCATCTGGTGACTTCACTATTCCATCCAGTGACTTCACTATTCCATCCAGTGACTTCACTATTCCATCTGGTGACTTAACTATTCCATCTGGTGACTTCACTATTCCATCCAGTGACTTCACTATTCCATCCAGGGACTGCACTATTCCATCCAGGGAGTGCACTATTCCATCTGGTGACTTCACTATTCCATCCAGTGACTGCACTATTCCATCTGGTGACTGCACAATTCTATCCAGTGACTTCACTATTCCATCTGGTGACTGCAATATTCCATCTGGTGACTTCACTATTCCAGTTGGTGACTGCAATATTCCATCTGGTGACTTCACTATTCCACCCAGTGACTTCACTGTTCCATTTAGTGACTGCACTATTCCATCCAGTGACTTCACTATTCCATCCAGTGACTTCACTATTCCATCCAGTGACTTCACTATTCCATCCAGTGACTTCACTATTCCATCTGGTGACTTTACTATACCATCTGGTGACTTTACTATACCATCTGGTGACTTAACTATTCCATCTGGTGACTTCACTATTCCATTCAGTGACTTCACTATTCCATCCAGGGACTGCACTATTCCATCCAGGGACTGCACTATTCCATCTGGTGACTTCACTATTCCATCCAGTGACTGCACTATTCCATCTGGTGACTGCACAATTCTATCCAGTGACTTCACTATTCCATCTGGTGACTGCAATATTCCATCTGGTGACTTCACTATTTCATTTGGTGACTGCAATATTCCATCTGGTGACTTCACTATTCCACCCAGTGACTTCACTGTTCCATTTAGTGACTGCACTATTCCATACAGTGACTTCACTATTCCATCAAGTGACTTCACTATTCCATCTGGTGACTTCACTATTCCATCCAGTGACTTCACTATTCCATCTGGTGACTTCACTATTCCATCCAGTGACTTCACTATTCCATCTGGTGACTTCACTATTCCATACAGTGACTTCACTATTCCATCCGGTGACTTCACTATTCCATCCAGTGACTTCACTATTCCATCCAGTGACTTCACTATTCCATCCGGTGACTTCACTATTCCATCCAGTGACTTCACTATTCCATCCAGGGACTGCACTATTCCATCCAGGGACTGCACTATTCCATCTGGTGACTTCACTATTCCATCTGGTGACTTCACTATACCATCTGGTGACTTCACTATACCATCTGGTGACTTCACTATTTCATCTGGTGACTTCACTATTTCATCTGGTGACTTCACTATTTCATCTGGTGACTTCACTATTTCATCTGGTTGACTTCACTATTCCATCCGGTGACTTCACTATTCCATCTGGGGACTGCACTATTCCATCCAGTGACTGCACTATTCCATCCAGTGACTGCACTATTCCATCTGGTGAATGCACAATTCCATCCAGTAACTGCACTATTCCATCTGGTGACTGCACAATTCCATCCAGTGACTTCACTATTCCATCTGGTGACTTCACTATTCCATTCAGTGACTGCACTATTCCATCTGGTGACTTCACTATTCCATCTGGTGAATGCACTATTCCATCTGGTGACTGCACAATTCTATCCAGTGACTGCACTATTCCATCCGGTGACTTCACTATTCCATCTGGTGACTGCAATATTCCATCTGGTGACTTCACTATTCCATTTGGTGACTGCAATATTCCATCTGGTGACTTCACTATTCCACCCAGTGACTTCACTGTTCCATTTAGTGACTGCACTATTCCATCCAGTGACTTCACTATTCCATCAAGTGACTTCACTATTCCATCTGGTGACTTCACTATTCCATCCAGTGACTTCACTATTCCATCTGGTGACTTCACTATTCCATCCAGTGACTTCACTATTCCATCCGGTGACTTCACTATTCCATCCAGTGACTTCACTATTCCATTCGGTGACTTCACTATTCCATCCAGTGACTTCACTATTCCATCCGGTGACTTCACTATTCCATCCAGTGACTTCACTATTCCATCCAGGGACTGCACTATTCCATCCAGGGACTGCACTATCCCATCCAGGGACTGCACTATCCCATCTGGTGACTGCACTATTCCATCCAGTGACTTCACTATTCCATCTGGTGACTTCACTATACCATCTGGTGACTTCACTATTCCATCTGGTGACTTCACTATTTCATCTGGTGACTTCACTATTCCATCCGGTGACTTCACTATTCCATCTGGGGACTGCACTATTCCATCCAGTGACTGCACTATTCCATCTGGTGACTCCACAATTCCATCCAGTGACTGCACTATTCCATCCAGTGACTTCACTATTCCATCTGGTGACTGCACTATTCCATCCAGTGACTGCACTATTCCATCCAGTGACTTCACTATTCCATCTAGTGACTGCACAATTCCATCCAGTGCTTGTTAGGTGTGTAGTTAACATAATTCTTGGTTCAACTTCTTAAGGTGGCTGATATATTTGAATTATCATTATTGAATAGCTGTGAATCAAGTGTGGTAACACACAAATTTTGGTTTTCTCCAGGTTTGATCAAATCTATTTATGTTTCGAAGATGGTGGCTGTGATTTTTTTGTTTATACCATCATACTAGTTACCAAATGTGTTTTATATCAATTTTATTTGTCAGTTTAAAAATAAACATTTAGCCTTATAATCCTTTTCCATTCAGGACAAGTTGTATATATACACAGTATTGCTTTGAGTACCAATTAATTTTATAAAAGTAATTGACAGGGTTGTAATGACATAGCGGTACTATTATTTGCCATACAAATAGTCGGGCAAACATTTCTGCTATTCTTTCCTCCAATTATGTGATATTCATGTTACTCTCGTTATATTTGGTTACAGACATTGATCAGGTTATGGTGATAATACAATCTTAGTCATGGTTATCATGGACAACCAAGCTACATTTGTAGGTCCTCTTAAGATGTGTCATAGCACAGTGTTTATCATTGAATGTAGTACTGTAAATAGCTAGAATTAATTTTTGTTGAAAAAAAACAAAAAAACATGGCATATCCGGTTATGGTCTAAATTGACATAGCATATCCAGGGATGGTCCGAATTGACATGGCATATCCAGGGATGGTCTGAATTGACATGGCATATCCAGGGATGGTCTGAATTGACATAACATATCCAGGAATGGTCTGAATCGATATGGCATATCCAGGGATGGTCTGAATTGACATGACATATCCAGGGATGGTCTGAATTGACATGGCATATCCAGGGATGGTCTGAATTGACATACATGTTGCATATCCAGGGATGGTCTGAATTGACATGGCATATCCAGGGATGGTCTGAATTGACATACATGTAGCATATCCAGGGATGGTCTGAATTGACATGGCATATCCAGGGGTGGTCTGAATTGACATGGCATATCCAGGGATTGTCTGAATTGACATGGCATATCCAGGGATGGTCTGAATTGACATAGCATTTCCAGGGATGGTCTGAATTGACATAGCATGTCCAGGGATGGTCTGAATTGACATAACATATCCAGGGATGGTCTGAATTGACATAGCATATCCAGGGATGGTCTGAATTGACATGGCATATCCAGGGATGGTCTGAATTGACATAGCATATCCAGGGATGGTCTGAATTGACATGGCATATCCATGGCATAACCATACATAAATGTGTTTGTTGATGACTCCTGTGATGGCATCTCTGACAAGACAGTCCTAGTAACCATACATAAATCAGTTGGTTGATGACTCATGTGATGGCATCTCTGACAAGACAGTCCTAGTAAGGGACGACGTCAAAAAATCGATGTCGGATAAAAAACTTAATTCCTTTAGTTTTTCCCAAACACCCCCACCCCCACTAAAAACTTAATTTATAAATATTGATCATGGCGTCAGGCTACATTCACCATTAAATACAAACTGATAATCGGACAGTAGTATGGCATAGGACTTGGTTGTAATAATGAAGGAGAATATACGCATACTCAAACAACTTTTCTGGGTTCTGCACATGCTCTAGGTCCATGCCCTGAAAATTAAATAGGATCTCATTTGACGCACATATTTACACTCGGACCAAGCCATTTTCTCGTCTTGGATGTGTGTTTTTTAATTTTCTGTTATTTTTGACTTCATTAAAGAATAACATCGTTTTTGTTGGATGGAAACTTTTTGAGGTCAAAACCCCTCACCC